GTACATGGGCCTCCCTTAGGTCTAGACTACTCCTTCACCTACACCTGAACCTAATCTGCATCTGGGCCTCTGCTAGACCTGCCCTGAGCTTCCTGCAGGCTGGGGCCTCCCCTGAACGAGTACCTGAGCCTCACCAGCTCTTGGACTTCACCTGGGCCATCCCTGGACCTCATCTGGGTCTGGACTCCCCTGCACCTCTACCTGGGCCTCCCCTGAGCCTCCCATGAGTGTGGACATCTCCTGCACCTGTACTTGGCGTCCCATGGGTCTGACTACCATTCATCTGTACCTGGGCCTCACCTTCAAGTGGGCCTTCCTTGGACATTTCCTCACCTGCACCTACAGCTTGACGTACTCTGTACGTATACCTGGACCTCACCTCCACTGGGCCTCCCATTCACAAGTACCTGGTCCTGTCCTGGGATGGACCTTCCCTTCGATTGTAGTGGGGCCTCCCCTGTTTCTGGTAATCCACTGGACCTGTACCTAGGGCTCCCCTGGGTATGCATCAGGATATGGGCTGAGTCAGGATCTCCCCTGGACCTCCACGATGTCATGACTTCCCCTTCACCTGTACCTGCTCTTCCCCTAGGCCTCTCCTGGCTCTGGATCTTCCCCTCACCTGTGCCTGGGCCTTTGCTGGGCATCTCCTGGGTCTGGACCTTCCCTCATCTGTGCCTGGGCCTCCCCTGTTGCTCTACTGGGTCATGACCTCCCCTGCACCTGTTCCTGGTCCTCCATGAGTCTGAACATCACTTGTACATATACCTGGGCCTCCCCTGAGACAAGAACACCAAATCACCTAAGTCTGAGCCTCACCTGCACCTGCACGTCCTCACCTGTACCTGCCCCAGGTCTGGCTAGAACCAGAAAAGACTGAAGCTGAACCAGGGACAGCAGGCCCTCTGGGGCTGGAGAACTTCTGGGTCCATCATCACAGGGGCTTTAGAGAAGGTGAGCTCACAGGCACATGGCAAAGGGAGACAGCTGCTGGAGGTCAGAGGCACAACCAGAGGCCCGGGTCCAGGTGGGCAAAGCCTGGCGCCGTCCTTCCAGACACCCTTGCAGGCCGTGCACACGACTCAGACCCAGAGCCCCAAGGCTCAGCAGCACCCGGACTGACTCCTCTCTGGTCCTCCCAATTCTGGCCTCCCTGTGTGGGAGCCACCTGCTGGACCCAAGGTACAAATGGCCCCAGAGTGACCCCATACCATGGGGTGGTTTATTAACCCAGAAGGTCGTCACAATGTGGTTGGAATCCATGATGGGCACACACATCAGCCCAACACTGCTGCGGCCCAGCAAGGAGCCTCATGCAGAGCCCAAGAGGCCTCCCCTGTTTCCAGCAGGACACCTGCAGCTCTGGGCCCAACACTGCCTCCCCAGGCCCTGCCTCCATTCAGGGCTCAGCCCTCAGCATCCCAGGTTCCTCCCCAGCTGGGCTCTCAGGCAGGTGGCCCCCCATGGAAGAAGGATTTGGGGTGGGTCTATGTCACTGTGGTATTGTGGTGGTGGTGGTTGGAACTACGACAGCATTACAGAGCCCATCAAAAATCCCGACCAGGGAGTCCCAGCCATGGCCCTGCCCTGGGGGCAGCAGGGACACCATCCCTGGGTTTTGAATGTGGCCACATCACCAGTCATGCTGGGCCATCTATCCCAGTGCTCAGTGATACCCTAAGTCTGGTCCCAAGCTGACCTCACCTTGAGACCCCCAGAACCCTCCATCCACACTGTAAATCCGGGGGCTTCTAGAAGGGCACATCCTCCCCCAGGCCAGTCCTTGGCATATCTGTGCATACACCCCAAGTCTGGGAGAAGCAGCCCAAAGGAGACAGCCTGAACCCCCAGGGCTGCCCCCATAGCTCAGATCCACCAGGAGCCCTGAAAGTACCTGGAGCAGCCCCACACCCCCTGTGCCCAGTCCATGGAGTCTTGGCATCTGCAGGGGGACCTCACTTATTCTCTGGGGAGACTGGGGTGAAGAGGGCAGCTAGACCGCTCCCATCTGCCCAGGTCTGTGGGGCAGGTGCATGGGACACCTGTGCAGACAGGCCCACCGGGGCACATGGACTGGGGACCTCCAGCAGGAAGGGGTCCTTCCCCCACCCGCCAGGCATTTTGACAAGGAACTTCCCACTGTGGAACTACATAGACTACACCACAGTGACGGACCCAGCAACAAAAACCAACCCTGGACCCGGGGCCCTCAAGCCTGGCTCCTGAGGGTCCCAGGGCTGGCTGCCCACCACTGCTCAGCTGCTGACAGCCAAGGGTCCCTCCCCAGAGCCCCAGACCTGTGTCTCCATCTGGGAGGTGCTGAGTTGGCCCTGTGCACAAAATATCCTCTGCAACCCCCTCTCCCCACTACACAAGCTCTGCTCCAGGTTCCAGGTTGTAAAAACCCTGCTGCATCTTTTCCTCCCCCAGGTAAGATGGGGGGCAAGGGCCCTCACACTGCCCCCGCCCAACCATATGCTGCCCGTTGGGGGGGACAAGACAGGGATACTCCTCACACTGGTGACCCGCAAGAGGGACAAAGGTGGGGCCGGGGTACCCCGAGGTCAACGTGGGGCCCAGGGCCTGGAAAGGGTGGGCAGGGTGGGCAGAGCAGGTCGACAGGAGGTCCCTGAAGCCCCAGAGAGTAAGGGACCACGGGGAGGGGCCGAGTACACAGCAAGAGAGCATGTGAAGGAGCCCCTCCTCTGAGATGGGCAGGAGCTCAGGGGAGGGTCGGGGTCCCAGGGCAGCCCCCAGCCCAGGAGACAAGGAGCAAATGCACCAACATGGGCCCCTTGGGCAGGGATGCTGAGCTTCACAGGAGACATGAGCCCAGAGAGGACTCTTCCCCCCCAGGCAGCAGTGATGTCAAGGCCTGAAGACCCCACAGAACATGGGCAGGTGGGGGGCGTCCAGCAGAGGACCAGCCCGCCTGCTCCACAATCCCATGGGGAACTTGAGAGAAAGACAACAATGTCGGCCGGGCGCTGGGCAGCCCTCTCTGGGAGCCCCGGTGGTCAGGAGGTGGGAGGAGAGACCACCAGGGTCCATCCTGCAGAGGGAAGCATTTAGGCCCAATCACCCACATTCAACACAGAGTCGATGCCCAGGGGCCAGTGGGAGGGCAGAGAGGTCAGACTCCTGGGGCCTCAGGGAAGGTGGGGGACCTGTGCAGTCACAGAAACGTCACCCTCCCGGGGACTCTGGTGCTCCAGCAGCAACCCCAGCCAGGTGTGCAGGAGGGCACCTGGGCCTCCCCTGCACCTGAGCCTCCCCTGCACCTGGGGCTCCCCTGGGACTGGAATACACATCACCTGTGCCTGGGCCTCCCCTGGGTCTCCCCTGTGTCTGGACCTGCTCTTCACCTACACCTGGGCCTCCACTCGGCCCCTCTGTAACTTATCCTGTTTCTACACAGGGACCTGGATTCAACTACACCTGCACCTGGGACTCTCCTGCACCTGTAACTGGGTGTCCCTTGATCAGGACCTCCTGTGCACCTCATCCTGGGTCTTTCTTGGGACTGGACCTCACCTGCACATGTTCCTGGGCCTCCCTGAGTCTGGAAAACCACTTCACCTGTTCCTGAACATAATGACAACCAGGTCCACCCCTGGGCCTGGGCCGTACCTGCCTCTGCACATTAGCCTCAACTGAACGTGGAACTCACCTGGGCCTTCCCTTGGCAGCCCCAGGATCTGGACTCCCCTTCACCTGCACCTGGGCCTCCCTTCATCTGGACCTGGGCCTCTCTTGGGCTTGGGACTTCCCTGACCTGTAACTGGCCCTCCCTTAGGTCTGGAGTACTACTTCATCTATACACTGGCCTCAGCTACACCTGGGCCATCCCTGGGCCTCCACTGGGTGTGGACCTGCCCTGCACCTATACTTGGGTCTTACCTGCTCCTGGGCCTCCCCTTCGTTAGGACATCACATGAAAATTCCCATGGGCTTCTCCTGGGGTCAGACCTCACCTGAATTTGTACCCGGGTCTCACCTGATCCTGGACCTTCCCTGGGACTGCACTTATCCTGGACCTGGGCATGCGGCTCCCCTGTATCTGGCCCTTTCCTGTACCTGGGCCTCCACTTGCTCTGCTCCTGTGACAGGGACTCACCTGTACCTGGAACACCTCTGGGCCTGGAATACACTTTACATGTCCCTGGGCCACCCCAGCACCTCCCCTGGGCCCTGCTGGGCCTGAGCCTCACCTACATCTGAACCTGGGACTCCCGAGCACCTAAGACTCACTTGGGACTGGACCTCCTCTGCAACTCTACCTAGGCTTCCCCTGGGTCTTATTCTTCCCTGGGCCTCAACTGCACCTGGGCCTCCACTGCACCTGTAAATGGTACCAACCAAGATCTGGATATCCCCTTCACATGCTCTGGGCCTCTCCTTGCTCAGGACCTGGTTCTCCCCTGGGACTGGACCTCACCTGCACTTGGTCGAGTGCCTCTCCTGGGTTGGACCTCCCCTTGACCTATACGTGAGGCTCCCCTGGGCCTGGGCCTCTCAGGGATTCCCTGAACCTGGACTACCACTTCACCTATGCCCTGGGCTCATCTGCATGTGGGCCTCTCCTGGGCCGGCTCTGGATCTCCCCTGGGCCTCCCTGGCCTGGGCCTCCCCTGCATCCAAATCAGCGCCTCACTGGCTATTGGGCTTCATGTGGGCCCTCCCTGAGCCTCCCCAGGTTCTGGACCACCCCTGCAGCTATACCTGGGCCTTACCTTCTCCTGGGCCTTCTCTGAGCCTCCCCTTTGTCTGGACCACTCCTGGACCTGCACCTGCACCTGGGCCTCTCCTGGGTTGGACCTCACCTTCATTTGTACCTGGCGCTGTCTTGGGTATGGACCTTCCTGGGTACTCCCCTGGATTTGGACCTTCCAAGCACCTGTACCTGGGCCCCCCTGGGTCTAGACATATCTTCACCTGCTCCCAGGCCTTCCCTGGGTCTGCCGCTCCCCTGTCCCTATCCCTGGGCTTTCTGTGTTCAGGGCCTCTCCCGCACCTGCACCTCCTCACCTGTACCTGCCCCAGGTGCGGCTAGAACCAGAAAGGACTGAAGCTGAACCAGGGACAGCAGGCCCTCTGGGTCTCCAGAAACAGCATCATCAGCACAGCGGCTTTAGAGAAGGTGAGCTCACAGGCACTTGGCGAAGGGAGACAGCTGCTGGGGGTCAGAGCACAACCAGAGGCCCGGGTCCAGGTGGGCAAAGCCTGGCACCGTGCTTCCAGACACCCTCGCAGGCCGGGCACACGACTCAGACCCAGAGTCCCAAGGCTCAGCAGCACCCGGACTGACCCCTCCCTGGTCCTCCCATCTCTGGCCTCTCTGGGTGGGAACCACCTGCTGGCCCCAGGGTACAAGGACCCCAGAGTGACCCCCACACTGTGGGGTGGTTTATTAACCCAGAAGACTGTCACAATGTGGTTCAGATCCATGTTGGGGGCACACACTGCAGCCCAACACTGCCACAGCCCGCCAAGGAGCCTCAACCAAAGCCCAAGAGGCCTCCCCTGTTTCCAGTAGGACACCTGCAGCTCTGGGCCCACCCACCGCCTCCCCGGACCCCGCCTCCATTCAGGGCTCAGCCCTCAGCATCCCAGGTTCCTCCCCAGCTGGGCCCTCAGGCAGGTGGGCCCCCAGGGAAGAAGGAATTGGGGTGGGTCTGTGTCACTGTGGTATTATTGTAGTGGTAACTGTTACTACCACAGCATTACAGAGCCCATCAAAAACCCCGACCAGAGAGTCCCAGCCATAGCCCTGTCCTGGAGGCAGAAGGGACACCATCCCTGGATTTTGAATGTGGCCACATAACCGGTCTGCCTGGACCGTCCATCCCAGTGCTCAGGGATCCCCTAAGTCTGGTCCAAACCTGACCTAACCTGGAGATGCCTGGGACCCTCGAACCACACTGTAAATCTGGGGCTTCAACGAGAGCACACCCTCCCCCAGACCAGTCCTTGGCATATCTGGGCATACACACTGAGTCTGGGAGACACTGCCCGAAGGAGACAGCCTGACCCCCCAGGGTTGCCCCCATAGCCCAGATCAACCAGGAGCCCCCAAAGGACACAGAGCAGCGCCCATAACCCCTGTGCCTCGCCCATGGAGGCTTGGCATCTATCTACACCTGCGGGGGGGGGGCGCCTCACCTACTCCCTGAGGACATAGGGCTGGGGAGGGCAGCCAGACCGCCCCATCTGCCCAGGACTGTGGGGCAGATGCATGGGACACCTGTGCCGATAGACCCAACGGGGTGCCTCGATTGGGAGTCTCCAGCAGGAAGGGGTGCTTCCCCGACCCACCAGGCTTTTTGACAAGGAACTTCCCACTGTGTAATGCAGATAGCTACCACCAAAGTGGTGGACCCAGCAACAAAAACCCAGCCTGGACCCGGGGCCCTCAAGCCTGGCTCCTGAGGGTTGCAGGGCTGGCTGCCCACCACTGCTTAGCTGCTGATGGCCAGGGGTCCCTCCCCAGAGCCCCAGACCTGTGTCTCCATCTGGGAGGTGCTGAGTTGGCCCTGTGCACAAAATATCCTCTGCAACCCCCCTCTCCCCCTGCACAAGCTCTGCTCCAGGTCCCAGCCTGGAAAAACCCTGCTGCATCTTTTCCTCCCACAGGTTAGACAGGGGGGCAAGGGGACCCCACGGCCCCCGCCCAGCCTGATACTTCCTATGTCGTGGGACAAGACCAGAACACTCCTCACACTGGTGATATGCCACAGGGACAGAGCTGGGGTCGGGGTGCCCCGAGGACAACATGGGGCCCAGTGCCTGGAAACGGTGGTCTGGATGGGCAGAGCAGGTGGACAGGAGGTCCCTGAAGCCCCAGCGAGTTAGGGACCACAGGGAGGGGCCGTGTGCACATCAAGAGAGCATGTGAAGGAGCCCCTCCTCTGAGATGGGCAGGGGCTCAGGGGAGGGTCAGCTTCCCAGGGCAGCCGCCAGCCCAGGAGACAAGGAGCAAACGCACCAACATGGGGCCCTTGGGCAGCGACGCCCAGCTTCACAGGAAACATGAGCCCAGAGAGGACTCTTCCCCCCACAAGGCAGCAGTGATGTCAAGGCCTGAAGACCCCACAGAACACGGGCAGGTGGGGGCGTATAGCAGAGGACAAGCCCGCCTGCTCCACAATCCCAGGGGGAACCTGAGAGAAGCAGACAACAATTTCGGCTGGACCCTGGGCAGCCCTCTCCAGAAGCCCCGGTGGTCAGGAGGTGGGACGGGAGACCACCAGGGTCCATCCTGCACAGGGAAACTTTTAGGCCCAATCACCCACATTCACCATGGAGTCGATACCCAGGGGCCAGTGGGAGGACAGAGAGGTCAGACTCCTGGGGCCTCGGGGAAGGTGGGGGACCTGGGCAGTCACAGTAATGTCACCCTCGCGGTGGCTCTGGCGCTCCAGCAGCAACCCCAGCCAGGTGCACAGGAGGGCACCTGGGCCTCCTCTGCACCAGGGTCTCCCTGCACCTGGGCCTCCCCAGCACCTGGGGCTTCCCTAGGACTGGAATACACATCACCTGTGCCCGGGCCTCCCATGGGCCTCCCTTTGTCTGGACCTCTCCTGTACCTGCACCTGCACCTGGTCCTCTCCTGGGTCGGACCTCCTCTTCAGTTGTACCTGGTGCTGTCTTGGGTATGGACCTTCCCGGGTACTCCTCTGGGTTTGGACCTTCCAATCACCTGTACCTGGGCCTCCCCTGGATATGGATCTCCCCTTGGCCTCCCATGAGTTTGGATCTGCCCTGCACCTGAACCACACATCCCCTGGGTCTGGACCTTCCCTCCACCTGTACCTCAGTCTCCCAGCCTCTAGAAACACTTCATCTATACCTGGGCCTCCCCTGACCATCCCACGGACCTTCTCTGTGCCTCCCTAAATGTGGGCTTCACCTACAACTGTTCCTGGACCTCCCCTGGGCCTGGGCTTTCCCTTCACCTGTACATGGAAATACCCAGGGTCTGGACTTCCATGCACCTGGTCCTCGGCACCCCCTTGGTCTCGACATATGTTCACCTGCTCCTGGGATTTCCCTAAGTCTGCCATTCCCCAGTGTCTGCCATTCCCCTGTCCCTGTCCCTGGGCCTTACGTGCCCCGGGGCCTCACCCGCACCTGCACCTCCTCAACTGTACCTGCCCGAGGTCTGGCTAGAACCAGAAAGGACTGAGGCTGAACCAGGGACAGCAGGCCCTCTGGGGCTGGAGAATCTCTGGGACCATTAGCGCAGCGGCTTTAGAGAAGGTGAGCTCACAGGCACGTGATGAAGGGAGACAGCAGCTGGGGGTCAGAGGCACAACCAGAGGCCCGGGTCCAGGTGGGCAAAGTCTGGCGCCATCCTTCCAGACACCCTCGCAGGCCAGGCACATGACTCAGACCCAGAGTCCCAAGGCTCAGCAGCACCAGGACTGACTCCTGTCTGGTCCTCCCACCTCTGGCCTCCCTGGGTGGGAGCCACCTGTTGGCCCCAGGGTACAAGTGGCTCCAGAGGTAGCTCCACACTGTGGGGCAGTTTATTTACCCAGAAGGCCGTCACAAGGTGGTTGGGACCCATCATGGACGCACACGCCAGCCCAACACTGCCGCGGTTTGCCAAGGAGCCTCAACCAGAGCCCAAGAGTCCTCCTCTGTTTCCAGGAGGGCACCTGCAGCTCTGGGCCCACCCATCGCCTCCCCGGGCCCCGCCTCCATCCAGGGCTCAGCCCTCAGCATCCCAGGTTCCTCCCCAGCTGGGCCCTCAGGCAGGTGGTCCCCCAGGGAAGAAGGATTTGGTGTGGGTCTGTGTCACTGTGGTATTATTATAGTGGTTTTGGCTTTTACGACCACAGCATGACAGAGCCCATCAAAAACCCTGAGCAGGAAGTCCCAGCCATGGTCCTGCCCTGGCCACAACAGGGACGCCATCCCCGGATTTTGAACGTGGCCACATCACCGGTCTGGCTGGAGCGTCCATCTCAGTGCTCAGGGATCCCCTACGTCTGGTCCAAACCTGACCTCACTTGGAGATGCTCAGGACCCTCCATCCACACTGTAAATCCGGGGGCTTCTGGAACAGCACACTCTCCCCCAGGCCAGTCTTTGGCATATCTGGGCACACACCCCAGGTCTGGGAGAGATGGCCCGAAGGAGACAGCATGACCCCCCAGGGCTCTCCCCATAGCCCAGATCCACCAGGAGCCCCAAAGTAACTGGAGCAGCTGCCACACCCCCTCTGCCCCGCCCATGGAAGCGTGGCATCTATCTACCCTTGCGGGGGGGGGGGCGCCTAACCTACTCCCTGGGGAGACAGGGCTGGAGAGGGCACCCAGAACGCCCCCATCTACCCAGGACTGTGGGGCAGGTGCCCCGGACACCTGTGCAGACAGGTCCAGCAGGGAGCATGGAACAGGGGCCTCCAGCAGGAAGTGGTCCTTCCCTCACCCACCAGGCTTTTTTTTTTTTAATGTTATGTCAATCACCATACTTTACATCATTAATTTTTGATGTAGTGTTCCATGATTCATTGTATACACCAAGTACTCCATGCATTACATGCCCTCTTTAATAATCATCACCATGCCAACCCTTCCTCCCATCCCCCTCCCCTCTAAAACCCTCAGTTTTTTGCTCAGAGTCCATAGTCTCTCATGTTCTTCTCCCCTCTGGTTTGCCCCCCTTCATTTTTCCATTCCTACTCTCTTCTTCCTTTTTTTTTTTCTTTAGCATATAATGTATTATTTGTTTCAGAGGTACAGATCTGTGATTCAACAGTCTTGGACAATTCACAGCGCTCACCATAGCACATATCATCCCCAGGGTCTATCACCCAGCCACCCCATTCCTCCATCTACACCCGCATTCCAGGAACCCTCGGAATGAGAATTCCTCATTTCAGTGAGGTCATATGATACATGTCTTTCTCTGACTGACTTATTTCCCTCAGCATAATACACTCCAGTTCCATCCACGTCATTGCAAATGGCAAGATTTCATTCCTTTTGATGGCTGCATAATATCCCATTG